GGAAGATTGGATTGGATCTGAAAGTGGCTTTCGACTCAGTCGACCGCGCCAACCAGTGGCGCTATCTCTCTCTCAAGGGTGTACGTGAGAAGTTCAATATTACAATCCTTTTATACCTGTAGCCGATGCCGAGTCTGAGTTTATGACACGTTTTTGCCCGAGTTCACTACAGAAAGTGATGTGGTGTTGTTCATTACAGGATGGCCCTCGCTCTCCATTTCTATTTAGCTTTATCATATATTTACTTCTTGAAAGAGCCCTATCCTCCGAGGATAGTGGTATCGATTTTCTCCCAGGTGGCTAACTGTCTGATCTAGAGTTTGCAAACGACAATGCTGCTGTGTGAAGACCTAGGCAAGTTGCAAGCCTTTCTGAATGGTTTGAGTGCCAGTGTAGCAATGTGAGGTATGCGTTTTGCAAGATTGGGTTTGTCCAATACCCAGTCTGACTATAGAGCAAGTGGATAAATATTGTTATTTGGGTAGCTACATCTCACCCGGTGGACGCATCATGAATGAAGAGTCAGCGCGCATACAGAAGGCTCGGTTGGCATTTGCAAACTGGCCAAATCTGTGGCGCCGTCGCGACATCCGTCTGTCTGTGAAGGGTAGAGTGTATGCCGCTGCAGTTCGGCCAGTTGTGCTATACGGTGCAGAAACTTGACCATTGAAAAAACGGGATAAGGATGGACTATCGGTGTTTGAATACTGCAGTCTACGCAGCATTGCAGCTGGACGAGCCATGCTGAGTTTAGGCGTCGAGTTTTAGGCAATCGCCCATTGGAGTAAGTGGTCGACCTTCACAGATTACGTTGGTTGGGGCATGTGTTACGCACGTCACCAAATAGGTTGCCACGGCGAGCGATGTTCGCCGAGGCTGGTAGTGGGTGGAATAAAGCCAAGGGTAGTTAACTCTAACCAGGAGACTGGGTCACATGGGTCCCGTTATGCTCCCTGGCTGAGGACCCCGAGAGGATGGTCACCGATGGTGTCGCAAACAGTGGCGCTTATGTATCTACTCATACTTGTAACATCGGTCTGTATGAATTTTCTATCATCCGTTTGAATTTGCCCTTAACATTCGAATCATCATTCTGCTCTTTTATCCAAATGGACAGCCAAAACCGGCGTGCCAAAGTGCATGGTTAATGGTTGTAAAAACAAACTGAAAACTGGCTGGGGTCCATCGCGTTTTGGGCGACCCTGTAGTACAGCAGAACGCCAAACTTTACCCATTCATCCCAGTTTCTATAGGAACTATTGGTGCCTTATCTGTCGAAGAATAGTTGTTGAATAGTGTTGAAACATTTATTTAAGTAGCTCGTTAATTTATTCAGTCACTTGAACAAAATTAAATTCCTCACTGCGGTTTCAGATGTGTTAATCGTTGTTCTGAGTGTTTTTCCACCAGTCATCTACTTCAACCTCCGAAATATGTTAAATGCGGATACGTCACTTCAATATTTTGGCATGTACATATTTCTGAATCGGTCTCTTTTTTTTTGTCTGTCGAAGACTGCACCAGATGGTCGGCGAATGGTCGAATTGATTTTGGGCGAATATTCGTGGGAGACCTTTGGAGAAGCTGAACGTCGTGTTTCTCGCTTGGCGGCTGGTCTTTTTTCTATACTGGGCCCTGTTCGAGGAACAAATACCCCTATTGCCATTTTCAGCGAAACGAGAGCTGAGTGGTTGTATGCCGCACAGGCTGCGTTTCGTCTAAATCGACCCGTAGTTACGCTTTATGCGACTCTCGGCGATGACGCACTTGTGCATGGATTTAATGAAGCCGAGGTCAGTGTTATCCCCGTTTGGGAGTTTGTGTCGAAATACTGTTTCACTTTAGTTTTTTGTCACATTGACTGGTGGTTTTTTACCCTTTTATCTGAATTCGTCTTCGTATCCCCACTGGGATTCCGCATGTTCGTCATGTTTTTTTATTGACGGATGTCGAGGATTCTATCAGGCACTCACTCTCACATTGCCCCATTTTCAAGTTCCAACTGAGGTTTGTTTCTCTTTCGCCCGGATGCACCTCGAAAAGAGGTGTTTTAAATGTTTGTCCACTCATGTACTGTTTGACTTCTAAGAGAATGTAATTCTAGAAATATCTCTATCCCTGTACGACAAACTCAGGTGATAACTTGTTTTATTTGGAATTAGCACACAGCAANCACAGCAAGGCACCTCTGAGTGAGAATCCATTTAAGCGATGGGCTTTTCTGGGTTTCATTTGTGTGGCTGTGCTCGGCATGTGGCTTGTACCTTCGGAGTGTAGAATATCGTTCTAGGATTAGATTGATTGAACTCCCAAATTCACTATCCATGGAGCCGAGAGAAAGGAATGACAAATTTTACTCCATGGACTACCTCTCATGGAGGATAAATATCGGATGAATCGTCGGCCCGCATGCCGAGGGCTCGGTTTACGTAAACCGTGCACTTTTCGTCACCGTGATATCTATTGAAGGTCTGGTGCATACTGCAGCAGTTTGCCCAGTTACTCTTGAAAAATCAACGTAAACTGTTGGTTTTCGAATACCGCTGCCCACGCCAGATCGCACGAATCAGATAGAGTAACCGCATAGGAAATGCTGACAGTTGGCTGAAGCCACTAGCTTATTGTGGCTGTGCTGTAATGCAAGTACAACCTCCATAGGTGCATGTCGCCGCCCAACCCTTCCTGGTGTGCTGTAGATCACCAATACGCGGAGTGCCGTGAGCAAAACAGGAGAGGTTTTAATCAACTGTTGAATGAAGTATAGCGCTGCGTTGAAAAAGGTATGAGTTGTGTTAAAACCGTCAAACCTACGTTCCTCAAGAGCAACTAACCCTTAAAAGGTCGAGTCGTGGTCCAATAATATATATAT